GATCTCTTTCGGTGCTCGCCCCTTCTCCTGGCTGGACGCCCCGGCTCGGACGGCCGAATAAAAACAGTTCTTCGCAGACGCTTGGTCCCCCGGATCTCCATGACGCCCTCGGGCGTGGCGAACTTTAACTTCTGGTGGAGAGTGGAGTGCACCGCTCCCAACGCGTGCAGCCATGTTCGCCCCATAATCACATTGTAAGGAGAGTCCGTGTCGATCACTACAAACTCTGTGTCGATGACGAAGGGACCAGTGGCGACCGGTAATGTAATTTTCCCCACGGGCAAGGCGAAAGAGCCGTTGAACCCGATGAGGGGCGTCCTGATTTTGGTTAGGTCTTTGGGGCCAAAGCCCATCCGCTTCAAAGTCTCGAAGTACATCACCTCCGAGGAGCTCCCTGAATCTATCAAAATTCTCTTGACATCGAATTTTCCTATCTTTAGGGTCAAGACAAGGGCGTCGTTATAAGGAATCACCACGCCTGTCAAATCCGCGTCAGAGAACGTAATGCCAAGCTCTCCCATCCTGGCCCTTTTACTTGATGGCCCAACATCTCCCTCGGCTACCTTTCTCGTAAAGGCTACCCTCTTGAGGTCGGATTCGAGCTCTCTGGATGTGGGACGCTCCAGCGGACATACATGGATGACGTCTATGACGTTGTCCGGTTCCTCGGTCGGGGCAAGGGCTCGTTTCTCTTCTGGCCTAGGCTCTATGTATTCTTTCAAATGTCCGTCTCGGACCAAGCTTTCCAAGAACGACTTGAACACCCTGCAGCTCTCGGTGCGATGCCCGACATCCCGGTGATATGAACACCTTACTTTTTGATCACGGGTGGAGGGGTCGCTTTGCATCCTGGGCGGCCATTTGAAGAATGGCTCGTGTTTGATTTTATGGAGCAACCTGAAGATGGGTTCCTTGAAGACGGTGTGAACTCCTCTGGACGAACCCCCTGAATGGGGTAGCAATCCCTTCCGGGGAATATCTTCGCGCTCTTTTTCCTTTCTCTTGGGTTGGAGGGCTCGACCTTTGTTACTTTCCATCTCGTCCTCGACCCTTGAGTACTTGTTGATCCGGGCCATCAGTTCCCCCATATCCGAGGGAGTCTTCTTGGTCAGGGATCGGTACAGGTCCGTGTCCCTTGCCAAGCCGAGCCGGAAAGAAGCTGCTGCCATGACCTCCGAGCATCCCTCGACCTCATTGACCTCTTCCCAGTATCGGATGGCGTACTGGCGAAGAGTCTCGGATTCCCTCCGTCTGAGGGTCAACAATGATCCTATGTCCTTGGGGCGCTTACTCCCCGTGATGAATCGGGTTAGGAATTGCCTTGTCAATTCTTTCCAGGACCCAATACTGTTTGGTGGAAGCGTCTCGAACCACCTCATCGCAGAGTCCCCCAAGCTCATAGGGAACACCCGGCATAGAAACCGTTGGTCCGAATGATAGAGGGACATCATCTGCTTATATTGTCTGATATGAGCTTCGGGATCGGACCGCCCATCATAGGTTTTGAACCGTGGCACGACGAACTTTCTTGAGACATCCATCTCACTGATTTCCCTTGTGAAGGGTGTTTGCATGACTTCGTCCTCGGCCTCGTCCTGGACAGTCTTACCCTTCCTCCTGGAGTCTAATCGGGCTCTGAGATCTACTTCTTCCCTTACGGGATGCCTCCTGAAGCCCTGGGTTCGTCGGTAAGCCCCTCCTCTCCTGGGCTTCGTGTAGATTGGGTTGAGTCCTCCTCGGATTCATCTCCCTTCCTCCGTCTGGACAAACCTCGCCGGAGGTCGTCCAGGGCCAACGGCCTCGCTTTCCTGGAATGGTTGTCAAGATGGCATTCGCCGGCTCCGGGTCGCTTCGGGGCCCTGGAGCTTTCTGCTTTGTGATCCAGGTAGTTTCTTAGATCCTTTGTCTCCGCCTCATGGACGGGGAGCCCTCGGGAAAGGAATGAATCCCTCGACCCTCTGCCTGAGGCGGCAAACTCGTCGAGCCGGCTAAGGACGTTTACATTGTCCTTCTCCAGCTGACGTAATCTATCGCCAAATTTCTCTTCTATCACCTCTGCCAGCTGACAGGCCAAGGGGGCTGATCCTCCTGACCTGATCCCCATACTGGTTTGGGGGGTTACCCCCCCTTGACCGAGTAGAGGCACTTTTAATCGTACTGGTGCGATCCCTCCCTCCGTGATGGCAGGGAGCTTGCAACTCATGACTCCTTTGGTGGGGTCCTTTCCCTTTTTGTCTGGTGTTCATCATGGTCACTGTTCTTTATAGAGAAAAGATTAGGAAAACTACTCGTTTCCCACAGACGGCGCCAGATTGTGCGTGCAAGATCCTGCACAATATAAAAAACGGGAACAGATCTCTCCCCTGGTGAGATTTGAGTGAGCCGGTTGAGTGGCCAAACACGCTGCTTGACACAGGCTGCAAGGTACGGTGGCAACCTGGAACGGCAAAGGAAGCTCCTGGGAAAGGAAGAACGATCCTGTATGTGTGGAAGGTTTTTCTGGAATAAAGAGGAACAAGTTAGAAGGGTGCCGGAGTGTTTTCCGGCGTATCCCCTCCGACGGTCTAGTCAGTCTTTGAATGAGAGAGAGGAAGAAGAAAACACTGAGAAAGTCTGTGTTGTAGTAGAGAGTTTGTGATTTCATACCCGCTTCGCCTTTTGGGAGGAGTATTTATATCTTAAAAGCTCATGATTGCTGTCAGTGTGGTCAGTAGGTGATCATTAGGCACAGGTAGCGTGTGTATTGATTTTGATGAGGAATGTCTTCTCTAATTGACTGCTCGGGGTCCCGAGTAATGAATGTTGAGTCGTCGGGAGGCCGACGGTACAATATGCTCCTCTCGGGGAGGAAGCAATAAATGCTCTGTAATAGGAGCATTTATTGCCTTTCGCTTCCGAGCCTTACCGCATTGAATGCGGTCTCATCAAGGGAATGGCGCAATTAATTGTTTGCTTTCCCAAAGCGCACGTCAGCAACAGCATCCGGTTTGTCTGTCTTCGACGTGATATTATATGCCACGCGTCCATCATGTATTGGCTACGATCTCTGTATTCCAGTATGTTCTGACATTACTTGTGCGAGACGAGGTCATGATGAATAGTCTAGACTGTCATAGGCTGATGACCTGTACGTCAGTAGCTTTACCCTTGAGTGGGTAAAGCGTCTAGGACGGGGGTAACTCTCGGCACCGAGGAAAAGCTCACCTCGGGGTCCGGGAGTGATATGTTTCCGAGGTACATGGGTTGCCGAGGACACGTGTTGTTGTAGTTGTATAACACCCCCGAAAGCATGATCCTATATGAGAGGTACCTCGGAGGGAGGTTACTCGAGCCGATGGTGCTTATATCCGAGCAACACTATCCAAAACCCGAGGACACGTGTCTTCATCATAGGGCTTTTTCTGAAGAGTCTCATCAGTTAAAATTAAAACCGGTGGTATTAATGCATAAAAAAAAACCCTTATTCTTTTGATTATTACTAGTCGGGAAAAAAAAAACTCTTCTCTTTCTTTTTTTTTCCAAAATAAAGAACCTGTTTGTCAGAAAATTAATATCTTTTTTTTTTCAGTTTTTAATATACGGAAATTAAAAACAAAAGGGTAAATCACAAAAATGGTCCCTAAACTTTTCTCCTTATTGTAAATTGCACCCTACACTTTCAATTTTTTAAATTTATCCCCTAAACTATCTAAATTATGTTAATCAGCACTTTCTGTTAAATGGGGATGAAACCCTAATGTGAACTAAAGGATGTCGTTGAGTGAATGGCACTTTCGACATTTCACCTATTATCTAATAGTTAGGCGCCAAAAACTCCCTCTCACTCTTATTTTGATGTGTTTATTAGACTCGTTCTTTTCTCATGCTCTCTGTTCAGTTTAGTTGAGAAAGAGAGTAAACATAGTGAAAAATGAAGGAAACCAAGTCATGAATGTTTACTGCCATGGTAGGAGAAGAACAATAGTGAAGACGTCCTACACCAATAATAATCTAGGCAGAAGGTTCTTATGTTGCAGTGTGCATGGTAAGTTTCAACATCATCTCAAGAAATTGAAGTAGGTAAGTTACAAATTCTAACATCTCTAAAATGCTTGTGTACTTGTAGAATGGGGTCTATGGGTTCTTTGACTAGTATGACCATCTTATATGTCCTCGTGCAGATAATCCTAGGACTTATAAAACGAGTGGAAGAAAAAACAAGCTAACAAATATAATAGAAGAAACTATTTCCTGTGGATTACATTGCTAATTTCATGGTTGGTAATGTGGACATTATCGAGTAACGAATTTGGTGGAGAAGCATCAGCAAGCTTAGATGGTCAAGGTGAACCAAGTGTCAAATTTGATATGTAAAATGGGAATGATAATGGGAATGAGATTGTGTCTTGTATAGTGATAATGGTTTGTTAAGTAATTAATAATGTATTGTTAATTAGTAATGAAAAGATGTTGGTATATTTGTTTGAGTTTGTTATTAGTGAGCATCTATCATATATTTATTATAAGTAATGGATAAATGTTATCTGTTTTGCTTTAGATGAATTAGTGCCTTGAAACAGAAAGACAAAAATGATGTTGCAGACAAAAAATATGATGTTCGAGATAAAAAAATTTTGCTTCATAATAAATGGTTCATCTATATAAAATAGTAACATCCGACCGGTCATCAGGAGGGAGTTTTTGGAGCCCAATTGTATATAATAGGTGAAATGCCAAAAGTGCCCTCCACCAAATGCCATACACAGTCATGTTAGGGTTTTATCCCCATTTAACGGTTGAATCTAGCAAAAGGCGTTGATTAAAATAATTTAAATAGTTCAGGGCTAAATTAAAAAAATTAAAAGTTTAAGATCTAATTTAAAACAAAGAGGAAAGTCCAGAGGCCATATATGTGGTTTACCCAAAACGAAAGAAAGGGAAAAGAGTGTCGAGCTTTTGGACATAGAGAGAGAGAGAGAGAGAGAGAGCAACTCGGGCTGTACCTCCACACTACTCATCGGTAACCTTTTCCTTGAGGGACTTACTCAGCTTCTCCGACACTCCAATTCGTCAATAATATTCCATTCGACTGCGATTGAAAATTCTAGGGTTTATACAATCACGAAGCTCTGCATCTACAAAATATCTATTCACATGAGAATACTAAATCAGGCTTTCTGAAGAATTGGATTCTAATAGTTCTCCGCCACTCTCGGAGAATCCGGTAATTTTCTGGTCATTCAACAATCTGAGATCAACGATTTCGACTATAATTTTCGAGTCTTGTGCATTTATATTAGAATCTCGAAATTCGGATGGTATTGTAGCTAGAGCGCTGTGGTGTGATTTTGATACTGATTTTAGGAGCGTTGTACGTTGGGTGGTGGATTGAATCCCCGGACGATGACCAGAAAAACTAATAGCTGTGCTATTTGCGAGAACTCGAATCTTGCGTCTATATGCCCCATTTGTGTCAATTACAGGTAAAAAATTTAATTTCTTCAAATTTAGCATCCATTTATGTTTAGTTTTTATGATGCAATATCATTTTGTAGATGCATCAATTGTATATTGGCATTCCCGTTACTCCCCAGGAAAAAAAGACATGTTCTTGTACAATGCTCTTAATTTTGTGCTCTTTGGATGAATCAGCATGAAGGAGTTGTGTTTTGTTATGATATGTGCAGATTAAATGATTACAACACTAACTTGAAGTCGCTGAAGAGTCGGCGGGATGCTTTGTATACCAGATTGAGTGAAGTGCTTGTGGTAAAGGTTTGACTAATTCATTTCGAGCTCATCGGTCTATTCTTTTCATTGTTTTGACTGTATGTCTGTGGGTTATCTGGATGGTCCTGTGTAGAAAAGCTTGTTCGGATGCACTGGGTCAATTTGTAATTCAAGTTCCTGAATAGGATTGGAGTTTTGGATTTTGGAGTCATGATGGGTCATTCAAACTCTTGGCCTAGTTAAAACCGCTTCTTCAATTTTATGTGTCCACCTTTTTGAACTCAGCAAAATACAAAGTGTATAATTGGATAAAATGTAAAAATGCTATTTATAGTTATGATAGCTTGTTCGGGAAAAGGGGACTGATAGGAGTGACAAACCTTGGGGTTTGGTATATAATTAAGCTTAGAAACGATATGAAATCTTTTTTGGTGCAGTTCATCAATCCTTTATGCCTGGCGAGGACTTGTAATTGGCATGATTAGTAGGCTTTTGGTACATGGAAGACTTGCAGGAGCTAAAATCAAATTTTACAGTAGCCAACTTACTAATTAAGGGGTATTGTTAGGGCATGTGATGTGACTGTTTCCACAAGCATAGTTATCTTTATGGTTATTTTATATTCTTGTTGGGGGCATCTCACGACACATTTTGAGTTCTTAATTTTTTATTTTTTATTTTTGAAAATTGTCAGGGTAAGGCAGATGATCAATTAAGTTTTAGAGTGCTTCAAAGTGAGAAGCTTGCAAGATTGAGGGAGAAACTCCGTGTTCGTAAAGAACAACTTTCACAAGGTTGGCTGCCCTCATTAACTGTAGCTGCGATTTTAGGTTGAGTAGTCTCCGTATTGTCACTCCATGAGCTTCTTAGGCTAATTTATGCTTTTATAGGAAATGCTAAGATTGAGAAGCTGTCCCATGATTTAAAAGTCAAATATGAGTCGCTGGAATCAGCCAAGAGTATGGTATTGCCTTCTTTTCTTTTTTATTTCTTTTGTTTTTTATGTGTTATCAATTAGACATAAACTTCTTTTCCTATTCATTTTTAGGAGTTTGTAGTTGAATAGATGATGATACTTCTGTTGGAAATTTTATTGCAGCTGGAAAGAAATCGTGTAGAACAACTGGAAAAGTTCTATCCTAATCTTATCTGCACTCATCGCTTGGGGCTTGTGAGAATTCATCTTCACAATAGATTTTTTTGTTTAGCAATTTTTCTTTTCTTTTGTTTTTGCTGTCTGAACTTTGTAGGTAATTTTGCGTACTACTATTATTTTCAAAGCAGACTAATATGGACAGAATACCATGTATAAACTGTATTCGGTGCTAAAGATATTTTTAACTGCAGATGGCAATTACCTCTGATCGTCTTTATAAGCAGTCAGTGGTTATAAAACAGATTTGCAAGTTGTTCCCACAACGTCGGGTAAGAATTAGAGTTTGACTACTGTTAGCTTTATAAAATTTCATGAACATTAACTTTCAACAACATCAGTGATCGTCCCAAGTACAAAGTCTCAGTAACTTTTAAAAGCTATGTTCGTATACCTTATCATGGGATTTAATAGTCAGTGTGTATTCTAATTATCTGGGGACCACAACTCTAAACATGCAGCATTAGTAATGTGGTGCCTTTTTTATTTCCATAATACAATTTTATTGATGTCTTCTAAGTTGAGTTTGTACAGAACTATGCTTATTTATTTAGTATGGGCAAGTAACTTTACGGGGGGATTACTAGTGGTTTCTGATAAGCTAAATCAGTTTCATGTTGCAGGTGGATATAGAGGGAGATAAAAAAGATGGGTCTAATGGCCGATTTGATATGATTTGCAATGCACGTCTACCAAGAGGACTTGATCCCCATTCAGTTCCATCTGTCGAGCTTGCTGCTTCTTTGGGGTACTCTTTTTTCACTTCAGATACATATCCACACATTTTTTTACGGTGTCATTACAGTTATGATCTCCAAGTTTACACCTGAGATTCAAATCCAGCATCCAGTTGTTCTTATATCACAATCTCGTCATACTCAGCCTTCTATTGGCCCTACCCTCAAGATTCTGGAAAAAACTGAAGTTAGCTAATCATCATTGTTTTGATTTCCCCACCTTCCTCCTATCGGAGATTCCATTTTTTGGTTAATGTTTTTAGTTCAGTTAAAGTCACTCTTGAGGAAAATTTTAAGTGATTGGCCTATTATACACAGACCAATCTTTCACTATATTATTCTATCACTGAAATCATGGACGTGTAGCCTTATCTCTGTTTGGAGCTGTAATTATTGCTATTTTCATTAAAATGGTTATATAACTTCTATTTATCAAACCAAAGTTTAAATTTTAGGATCAACAAGGGGTAGTACAAGAATATTCACCAATTGTCCATTGACTACGCCTTTCGGTCTGATCTTACCCTTAGGTTTTCAGGGCATTGGATTCTCACCAATGTTTGCATTACTCAAGCCGACATTCTCGCTTACGCTTCGTCCACTACCACTTGCGTGGGTACTTCTCTCTGAGGCAGAACTCTCCCATACCTATGTATTCTTACATCCCATACATATTTTTGCGGAGACGTGTGTTTTTTGGTAGACAGTTGCCCGTGCCTGGTCATTGCGACCCCCTTTGTGAGGAGGCACCTATTCTTCCGAAGTTATGGAACTATTTTGTCGAGTTCCTTAGAGAGAGTTGTCTCGCACCCTTATGTGTTCTCTACCTACCAACCTGTGTCAGTTTGATACAAATGTCAATGTCTTGTACCTTAGCTAATGGCTAAACTTTGACAAAGTGGAACCATTTTTCCAGTCTAAATGATTTCCTATGCCATGGATCAAATGAGTAGGAAGAGCAAAAAATAGTTTTAGATCAAGGAAAGATGAAATAAAATATCAGAGTAATTGGTTTCACTTACAGATTTGTTACCTTCTATTCTTATAGGTTATTATTTGGTTATCTTTCATCTAATTAAATCTTGTAATCTCATGTACAATTATCTTTTCTAACTTCTGAGCTAAAACTTATATTGCCTTGTCTCATGGCCATCTTATTGTTCATCCAGTGCTTTGTCGTTTTCTATATTTCCATTGCAATAACTGCACAATACAAACGACATGAGAATAAATAATGTGTTTCTGATAAACAACTTATGAAGTCACCAGATGTTTTGTAATTATGGAAAGTAAATGCTAAATATGAATGTAAGTGTTATGATGATAAAGGTTTCATACGATTTTTCAACCAGGATGTTTTACATTGCTCGATATAGGCTGAAAAGTTGTCTAGACCTCTGAATTTAAGGTAGAGATGTATTTAGCTGGAGATGCTCTTGTCAAGATTATTTTGAAACATTAGCCTTACAAAGGAACTCAACTATAGATACTTGATGATTATCATATGTCATATGTAAAAAGTTGCTATAATGGATTTTATAGTTGTGTGGCCTGTTATTTCATTATCTGCGTATCCTTTTTTTTCAAATAACAAAATTGGGGTGATCCCAAGTACACTGTTTATATGTGTTTGTCATATTCTATGCAGTTAGTCCATATTTGCTTTATTTAGCCTGTGATCTTAATTGACAATATGAAGTGATCCCAAGTTGTCTTTGTCTGTGCTTTTCTTTTTCTATGTAGATAGTCCATATTTTCTTTAGTTACCTTGTGTCCTTCACCAACTGTTGACCTTTAACGATTGGAAAACAGGTATATGGTGCAGCTTCTGAATCTTGTTGTTCACAATGTCGGCGCTCCTGCACTCCATAACTCTGGTTTTGCGGTAACTTCTGTTTCATGTTGCATATTGTTCACATGCATTATGACTCGAGTTTTTTTTTGAGTTCTTTACATACTATTATTGTTTTCATTTTTTTTTTTGGATTTTGTGAAAAAAATTCCTTCAATTGTTTCACAATTTTCTCGTGCTCTATGTAGTGAATGTGGCATTTAAAACCTTAAGGAAACTAGAACCAGCGCTTTCATGTTGTATTTGAGAGATTTTTTTATAGGTCCTCATATTAATATTTCAATGATTACATTTATTATGTTAGTATTGTGGATATTTTTAGAGTATCCAACTCAAAATCAATTGGTAATGTCTGAAGAAGCCCTCAAAGAATATAAACCAACCTTGGTAGTCCTAATTATTTGATGTGGGATACAAGCTCTCTTTACACCCTCCCAAATGCAAACCCCGGCTTGCACATTGGATTAACAAATAAACAAACAACCATGCATATTAGAAATTCAAATGGGTAAGAGACTTAGCCCACTGACCTTCCAAGGCCTAGCTCTAATACTATGTTAGAGTATTCAACCTAAAACCAATTGGTCATATGTGGAGTGACCCCTCAAATATATTAACCAATGGTCCTAATTATTCAATGTGGGTACATGTTCTCTTTATAGATATGACCATGTGAAGTTCTTTTTTTTGCATGTTTTGGTGCATCAGTGAGACTTTCCTTATGTGTCTTCTTACTGTTGTTTCAGGGTTCATGCTCGCGAATATGGCAACGAGATTCTTATTGGGATGCCCGCCCCTCTTCCAGAAGGTATTTTTGGGTTTTGACAGGACATATGATGACATGCATGTATCAACTGCATCATATTGAAGTTAGTTTATTCCATGCAGCAATGAATATCCACTTTTCATACCACGGCAGAATTATTGCTCTACCAGCACGGAAACTTCATGGTCTGAAAGAAGCTCAAGTAATTTTGGTGTAGCTTCAATGGAATCAGAAAGGAAGCCCCGTTTGGATTCTTCTCGTAGTAGTAGCTTCAGTTTTTCTTCTGCTTCACCTCATTCTGTTGAAACGCACATGGACCTGCAGAAAGGGATTTCACTTCTCAAGAAAAGTGTGGCATGCATAACATCATTCTGTTACAACTCCTTATATCTAGATGTTCCCCCCGAGGCGTCTACCTTTGAAGCCTTTGCAAAGTTGTTAGCAACTCTATCGTCTTCCAGGGAGGTTCGATCGATTTTTTCCTTGAAGATGGCTTCTTCAAGGTATTGACTTTTTTTAGCTCTTGGATAGTTGTTCTCTGCATTGTTATCTTAGCTGGACTATGCACACTTTGTGTAGGAATAGCAAGTCCTACTAACCTTGGGCAATATTTCAAGTTCTGAGTGGTATTACCTTCGGAACTAAATCTAAGAAAAATCTAATTTAATACTTGCCAATTGTTGAGTTTGAGTTGGCCTGTAATTTCTCTATCGTGTGGCTCATTTTTAAGCCATGTCTTGCTGCCAGCAGATGAGGAATACACAGGTGTTTTAAAGGTAGAAACAAAGTGGCTTAGACAAATCTTTTTTATCGATAACCTCAGACCAGTCAATCGAATATGGAGTGATACGTAATCAATCGCCCACTACTTGAAAACGGCTCTTCTGCCCAGAAACGAAATGTTCCTGTAAATACTTGCTCCCATTGGACCATTTGTATCTATATGCATTAGGATCCTGATTCTAATTTAGTTATTATCCTCTGAGAACATTTACTGTAGTTCCTGAATAGTTGCTAGATGTGCAACCTATAGTTGGCATGTTTCTGTCATCTATTCCAAGTCATAGTTTGGTATGGGAAATCTTAGATCTATTGGCATTTGGCCAGCCAAGGGATCGTCAAATAGGTAATGAAAGTGAGGCCTACCAAGAGACATAAAGAAATAAGTTAAGGAGTATAACATGTTAGCTACTTTTTGTCTATTATTTGAATACTCAAAAGTCACTGAAAATAATTTGGTGGTAATAACTATTCAAAGTTATTTTCGAGTTAGATAGATTTTCTGAAGTTATTTAATTTTTTTCTGTTCTTTGAAGCCTTTTGGTTGGTTGTTGGTTTTTGACCTTGAAACCTTTTTTGCATCTGTCACTTCAAGGATTCTGAAATATATATATTTAACATAAATATCTTCTTTTCTTTCAAGAGTCGGCCTATTAGCGTGTTTCTTTTTTCCTTCTGATTTGCAGTTTAAGTAGTAAAGAACCGTATTTTTTTACAAATACTCAGCTGTATCTTTTTTTTTTTGACACTGACTTTCCTTGACGTTTGATTGCACAAATCTCCCTTCTTGTTTCAATCCTTACACTGACATCCACACATCAACAACAACATAACATATCCTGAAGAGACTACTATAGAAGATATTCACAGCAATGAAGAAGACTGAATGAAAGCCACAGAAACAACAGATTGAAATCAAAGTTTAGAGTACATCAGTTCCCACTACCTTAAATAACATCTTAAGCATAAATAACATGAAGTCTCTAGACAGTACTCCACACAACCACATAGCTAGCTAGCTAAGTCTTTTTCTTGTTACTTGCCTCATCAGGACAATATATGGGAATCACTTTTGCTCCCTCATTCGGACATAACAGGCTCAACCTCTCGCGGTAGTGCGCACACAACGTATCACACATAATATTAGATCCCTTGGAATTCTTTGCGCATTCTTCAAATAAATCGACAAGAACTCTACAATATTTTTCATCACCCTTCCACAGAGTGGAATTCGGATCTAGCATATGAGCTAATGAGCCAATTCCATGTGCAGTAGCAGTATTCCGAATTAAGTTGTTAGACCGACTACCATTGCCGCCGTAACGACCCATAGTAGAAATAGGCTTGTTGCTGTGACTTGTGAAAATTATTTTATCAAAGAACTAGCATATTCTTTATGTTTTGAATGTCATGTCTTGTAAATCGTTGATAATAATAACCACGCATTATCCATAAAATGCTGTATCCTAGCTATGTGTGATTTTTGTTCACTTCATCTTTCAGGTCATCTAAGCAAGTTCAACAACTGAACAAATCTGTTTGCAATGTCGATTCAGGCATTTCATCAAGTACATTATTTGAGAGTGCACATACATCGCCCATAATGGTACAAGTTTTATAGCCCTGCCTTTTGTTTCTGCAAAATCATTGAATTTTGGTGTTGATTGTGCTCTTATTGTTGAGCAGTCTAATTGGACTTTTGTTTTTGTGTGATAAAAAGAATTTTCTTGGTGGATGCGTATTCATGCATTAAAGTAATAAAATTTGCCCCCACCCACACCAAAAACAATAAAATAAAGAATTTTACCACCCAAATACACCAAGAAAATAACGATGTACTTCTCTTATTTCATAGATAAGAAGTGGCATTCTTTGGTATTACTAACTGCTTGCGTACATCAATACTTTGCATAGTCTGTTTTAGAGTTGGTGCTAGGTTATGCCCAGAGCTCTTGGATTGTTTGTGATTCTGCCAATTGAATTTATGGACTAACTTCCCCTTCCCCATCTTACCAGATAGCAACAAAACAACAAATAACTAGTTTGCACTTGATGTGATTTTCCTTTTCAGCATCCTTTTAAAAATTGTTGCAAGTTTGCTTTTGCTTCTCTTATTGTTTATTTATTCATTAAGAAGCAAGGGACTGGTTTGATTCAGTCTGAATTGTGGCCTTGAGACGGCAGGAATTACAATATAGTCATTGGTCTTACAAGTGCTGTAAACATTTGCCATGCCCATACTACATAATTTTTTACATAGGGATGGGGTTATTACATAAAAATCTATTGTATGTGCATTTATATGCTTGTTTATGTCAAGGAAGGGTTATCAGGAGAATGTAAGATGTATTGTATCATATAAATTGAATGGAGTGTGTACTGATAAAAAATTGAGTGGCATTGTTTGGTCACTTGGTATTGCATTCACATGTTGTCATTGGGCTTAATTTCAATCAGGAAGTATTCAAAGTTCTAGTGTGATTTCATTTTGTAATTGATTCTTGTATCTTTGCTTCATCTTGCAGAGAAATTTGAATGACACCAATTTCCCAAGTTCTGCTGCCAGTTATCTTTATGCCACTGAATTATCTGATATGGGAAAGAATGAAAATCTTATTGACGGGTGGGATATTGTGGAGCATCCCACTTTTCCTCCCCCTCCATCACAGGTTGAGGATGTGGAGCATTGGACTCGAGCAATGTTTATTGATGCAACAAAGAAATGATCTGGTGCTTTAATGGCCTACCACTTACTGTAAGTACTTTCATCCAGTCGGGACTAGTTTTCTGGAGTTGTCAGCAGATTTAACCAATAACTTTCTGAGATGACCGACTTGCAGAACTTGTAAATAGATACAAGTTTTTGTGCATATGCCAGTATAGGTAGATCATATTTCAGAAGAAATGGTAGATTGTAGGTTCCTGTTCCTATTATGTTTCTACGAAGTCATAGTAATTGATTATTTACTTGGACAAAGTGCACAAGGTAGATACCTGTTCTAGGAGCTTTACTGAGCATTGAATTTACCTACCTGGTAAATGAATGTGTATATACGCCTGCATTTTAGACCAAAGAGATGCAAGATTAGAGTTACAAGGGTATTTGGGTATCTGATTACAGCATTTCACTTTCCCAAGGCACTGATGTTGCTTCTCTTCTTTAACCGATGGCTTGCTTGTATCACCTGCCACCCCGTATGGGGCTCCTGAGGATCGAACCTTAGGGGGGCAGTTGGGGGTGGGTCGAAGATTGACAATTCTAGATCGGATCATTAATCCGCCTGGACATCAATCCGGTAAAAAGACTTGGTCAATGAGTTATTAGTTCAATCGTTGAGTCACTGGTCGGACCGGTTATATAATAAAAAAATAAAAAATATTTATTAATAGTAGAAAACATTCTCAATTAACTTTTTTGTTGGGTTAATTGTAAATTGCACCTTGAAAGATCGTTCAAATCTCATTTTTCACTCTCAAAGATCAAAAATTTTAATTTGTACCTAAAATTAATTTGATAAATTATACCTAGATTTCTTTATGCTTGTTATTTAATAATTTGGACCCCTTCACATTTAGAATATTACTATTATATCTCATGACGTTTATGCACGTGTAACACGTAATTCTTTTTCGTTGATATCTGTTAATATAATCATTAAAAAATATGATTTTATCTTAATAAAAAATTATAATTTCATATTACCCTTTATTTTATAGGTCCAATATACTCTAAAGTGCAAAATCAAGTTTATTATTTGAATGTCTAATAGAATAAATGGTTGCACTTTGAGTGATATATTGCATTGGATATAAAAAATATTATATAAATATCTACATTTTATTGGACATTTAAATAGTAAGCTTGATTTTGAACTTTAGAATATATAGGACTCACAAAATAAAGAGTAATATGAAATTATAATTTTTTATTAGGATAAAATTATATTTTTTAATAGTTATATTAGCAGATATCAACGAAAAGGGATTACGTGTTATACGTACACAAACATCATGAGATGTAGGAGTAATATTCTAAATGTGAAGGGGTTCAAATGATTAAGTGACAAGCATGAGAGGATCTAGATATGATTTATCAATTTAGTTTTAGGTGCACATTGATACAAATTTCTATCTTTGATGGTGCAAATTAAAATTTTTGATCTTTGGGGTCTAAATTGACATTCGAATTATCTTTCGGGGTGCAACTTACAATTAATCCTTTTTTTTTTCCAGGCGAAATGTTCTCAGTTCACCCCCACAATATCAATAATCTAGTTTCTCCATAATTAAAAAAAATTTCACTTTACACAAAAAACCTGATTTTTATTTCCGATTCCAACTTCTCCATTCAAATCCACAGAGATCGACCCAATCAAAATTGGCAGTAATCTCAATATCAATCTACTAAAATGGAACATCAAAAATAAATCAAATAAAACAAAAAGAGGGGTTTCTGATACAGAACAAATCAACACAAAAACCAAAAAAAAGTTCACCAAAGAAAAATTCAACATAGAGTGCTAGTGATGTTGTTTTTCTCCACCATAAAACAATAGTCGGTGAAAGAATTGAATAGTTCAAAATTTGGGGTTAATCTCATTTTGCACTCTGAAAGATTGTTCGAATCTCAATTTGTACTCTCAAAGATCAAAAATTTTAATTTACACCCTCAAAGATAGAAATTTGTATCAATGTGCACCCCCAAATATCAAAAATCTCAATTTGCACCCTCAAAGATAGAAATTTATATCAATGTGCATTCCAAAGATAAAAAATCTCAATTTGCACCATCAAAGAAAGAAATTTGTATCAATGTGCACCTAAAAATTAAATTGATAAATTATACCTAGATCTCCTCATACTTGTCACTTAATCATTTAAACCTCTTCACATTTAGAATATTACTCCTACATCTTATGACATTTGTGCACGTATAACACGTAACTCATTTTCATTGATATCTATTAATATAACCGTTAAAAAATATAATTTTATCCTAATAAAAAATTATAATTTCATATTACCCTTTATTTATGGGTTTAATATATTCTAAAGTTCAAAATCTAGTTTACCATTTGAATGTCTAATAAAATGTAAATATTTATATAATGTTTTTCATATTACCTTTTATATAAATATCTACATTTTATTAGACATTCAAATGGTAAGCTTGATTTTTAACTTTAGAGTATATCGAATCCACAAAATAAAAGGTAATATGAAATTATAATTTTTTATTAGGATAAAATCATATTTTTTAATGATTATATTAACAGATATCAACGAAAAGTGGTTATGTGTTACACATGCACAAACGTCATGAGATGTAAGGAGAATATTCTAAATGTGAAGGAATTCAAATGATTAAGTGACAAACATGAGGGGATCTAGGTAGAATTTATCAATTTAATTTTAGATGCACATTGATACAAATTTCTATTTTTGAGGGTGCAAATTGAGATTTTTTATCTTTGGGGATGCACATTGATACAAATTTCTATCTTTGAGGGTGTAAATTGAGATTTTTTATCTTTGAGGGTGCAAATTGAGATTTGAACAATTTTTTAGGGTGCAAAATGAGATTAACCCCAAAATTTGAGATAGACTAGCAATATTTGTTTGTGGGTAATGGCAGTTGTAACATGACTCGGTGAGTAGTGTACCTGCTAGGTGAAGCAAATCGCCAAGGAAGTGAAGTAAATCGATTCCTGTCCTGCCTTCGTTCGACACTTCAACTAAGAGAGAGAAGGAGAGGGGCTGATTCGGTCAACAACTTGACTGAGAAAGAGGTTGCTTCTTTCGAGATTGACTGAGCGAGAGACTGATCGTTCGACGACGAGGGTGAGAAAGAGAGAAAGGGAGACTAATTGTTCGAAGATGAGGGTGAGAGAAAGAGGGAGGTTGAGATTCGTCGGACTCAACGCTAGAAAAAGAAAGAGGCATAGAGACAATTAGGTTTTGGGCAAAAATGCCCAAAAGGGCTAGTTTTTATACCCTTTAAATGACTCGCCCGATTTGTTGTAAATCATCTAGTTCAACGGGTTTAGACAAGAATCGTCCGATTCAGTGGGTGTTGTTTGCTCAGACGATCTAATAGTTTACTCGGCCCAGTTTAGTGACCAATTCACCAGTTTATTGGGTCAACCCATCGGGCCAGCAGGATTTTAAAACAAAGGTTAGATCCTTCATTAAATCTTCGGATTAGATTCATTACTCTGGTATGTCTGTTGGACTCATTCCAATAAACTGATAGACATTTGGATAAACATGACACGGGTCTGGTAAATAAATTGGTAGTACCCTGGCAAGACACAAACTTGGCTATAACGGTCATAAATGGGTCATGGGTCAGGTAAGGATTGGGTAGATTTTGATAGGACATGACATAAATAATGTGAACCCTTAGGAGGGCCGGGGATGTTGGGCCATCCAAGTGTGAGCTGTGCTGGGGAGAGATGCATATAAAATGAAAAACAAATATTTAAGAAGTGGAAAATCTGGCAAATTCAGTTTATAGTGATATACTATTCTACTCACCCCAAAAAAAAACACACTATTCCAGTACTTAATTCTAATGTAAGGTTGTTTCCTTTTGATAAGGGTATTATTGGTTTGGATTACAGAAACATCCTCTTTGTAAATTCAATTTATGGTAAGATCTTATACAAATTTTTGATACGGCAATAAGGTTATTTTATTGTTGCAAAGGTGTCATGGATTCGAGTCACAAAAATATTTCTCCACATGTTGTGATAAGATTGTGTATATTTGATCCTTTCCAAATCTCATGGTAATGGAAGTCACATGAACTGGGCTATTTTGTATTGGTATATGGAATGAGGAAGCCAAATGGGTCATATACTATCTAAATGCACTCCATGTTTCAACACACCTTTGATACTACATGGTGTAGCATGCACACCAAGAGACTGTTAATCAACTCAAACTAAAACACTAAACTCTCTCAAATCAGCGCAGTAATAACAAGGTTAAAATTAGATTCCAATACCCAGAAGAAAAGGAACAAGTAAAGAAAAAGAGAACTTGTGATCATTCAGAATGAAAGTGAGGAAATTGAAATTTTTACTTGCTCAAATTGCCAACTAATGTTCTTAAAAGTTCTCTAGAACATGCAAATGAAAGACAATAAAACTGGTTACCCCTCATAAGCTAAATAAGATTAGATAGTTCAAAGACCTAAGTTCAGAGTTTTAAGTACTCAAACAGGCAACACCAGCATCGTAGTTTCACTTCTTCCTCTTCTTAGGAGGCTGAAGGGATGCCTCGTCTTCATCCTCTTCCTCATCATCCTCTGGTTCTTCTTCTTCTTGAACTTCTTCCTCATCCACATCCTCACCATCCTCCTCCTCCTCCTCATCGTCATCATCATCATTTTCTTCCTCATTGTGGTTATCTTCTTTGTCATCTTCGTCATTCTGGCCCTCATCATCATCTTTGTCCTCTCCATTCTCTTCACCTGCTCCACCAGCTCCTCCTTCAGGTTCATTCTTGGCATTGCCATTGATGTTGGGATTGTTGCCGTACCCTCCTGCCTCTTCAGAAGATGGGTCCTCTTCGCCTCCTCCAAGGCCACCGTCCTCCCCGCCATCAGCAATATCATTGGCATTTTCATCTCCATCTTCTCCCTCGACATCATCCAATTCGGATCGGCCAGCTCCTCCCTCGACATCAACCAATTCTGATTGGCTTTTGCCGTGATGTTCTCCTTCACCTTTGGGTCCGTTTGTCATCAACAGTGCCATGGAATCCTGAAACTAGGGGACGAAGTTGCAATGCCGGAGTCAGGTACCCAGGAATAATAAACAGTATAACCAAGAAACGAGGAGAGAGGAATGGAAATACGTGCGCGTGCGCACATACACCAGTCGTGTCTTAAAACCCCTCAAAATTCTTAAAGGTTCCGTGCAAAGTCTAAGGTTGCTTGGCAGTTGAAAATGGGTTGCTACACATACAAATAGGGGGCCTGTATTGAATGAGATTGTTGAAAAACTGTGGCACATAAATAGTAATATGAAGCAAAACTCGGCTTCAATTGGTACAGTATCGAATCCTCAGTGTTCAAGCATAAGAGTTTCTTCTGATATGAATTAGGTGAGTGTATTTAAATATGCTGTACAAATGGGGGGCCTGTATTGAATGAGATTGTTGAAAAACTGTGGCACATAAATAGTAATATGAAGCAAAACTCGGCTTCAATTGGTACAGTATCGAATCCTCAGTGTTCAAGCATAAGAGTTTCTTCTGATATGAATTAGGTGAGTGTATTTAAATATGCTGTACAGAGACTATTAACCAAATCACATAAATTTCTTGTGTCTTATGTGATTGTTCTTTTAATTTTTCCATTTTTGTGTGTGTTTTATGAATCCAAATTTGATTCTTGCAGTTATTTTCACAACAATACATAGCTGGATCCATTTCGATACCACATAAAAACAACAGAGATTTAGTGCACCCATTTGGTCATTTTGGTTTAAATTACAACATGTTAGCTCTAGCAGAGCATATGTAGCATTTTTTCACTATTATTATCACCTCATAGGGTAACAACCCTTTTTGAATGGTTCTTATTCAATTGAAGGTACAGTGAAAGAGAAGAGGGGGGGGGGGGGGGGTTCTTAGTCATACTTTCAAAACCTTATGAGTTATGACCCCCTCGATAGTCTCAACAGCATATCCGAATATCTTCTCACCCAAATAATAATAAACAGAGACCAAGACACATCAAGTGTCAACTACAACTAACTGCCAAACACTCACACTCAGTAAACCAATTATAAAACACAGCTCAATTATAAAAAATTAATTATTTTATTTTTTGATACTTGACATTACTTTTCACATTAACTTAGTATTTTTAGATAATACTTTACTTGGGATTTCTCTGACCATTACAAATTGTATGCAAAAAAAAAAAAAATGGAAAAAAAAAAGATTATAATAAATTATTGATCAACTAGAAATGATTAAATCCATGTGGGAAAAATAAAAATAAAAAGTTAATTAATTTTGTTTTATTGTATAGCAAAATATCTTAATAAATCACTAATCAAACCTCAGCATTGACCATAACAGCAATCGAGGTCAGCAAAGTGGATAGAGTGTCCCTAGCGCACGTTAGCAAAGCCTGGTTAGCGATCACCTCCATTTGTACGGTCGACACCTGCCAAAAAATAAAGGAGAACACAAAAAAAAGTCAGATGTTGACCTTTAGATCTCCCCCCAACTCTCCGGCACAGTCCGTTGGAATTTGGATAAGATATCAAAATCCGTTAAGATTTCAAACCAGAAAATAAAAAATAAAAAAAAACAAAATAAAATAAAGTTTACAGTAAAATGAAGAAGTGGCTACACATTCAAGGACTTGGGGTGTGTGTGTGTTTGAAATATATATATACATACTATATTTACAGATCTGCACAGATAAGGCAAGGAAACCTAATTTTGCAGAAAAAGGAAGTTTCTAGGGATAAGAAAATACGAGAAAAGGTTAAAAAATTGGTTGTTGGAAGAGAAGAATTGAAGAGTTTGGGACGAAATAGCTGAATATAACAATTTGTACAGAGGAATAATCGGAAGTAGTAGTAGTAGGAGGAGGAGAATTTCCCCGAAAAGCTGTGAACAAAGGAGAGAAAGATCGGTTTTCAAAGGGAAAAAAGTATGTATAATGCGAGCAAAGAAGAGAGACAAGTTGAATTTTCCGGGAAAACAAAGGAAAGTTTCTAGGAAAACGTGTACCTTGAGAAGTGAAAACGCGTAGCTAAGCAGATCCAAAGGCTTCAATGCTCTGAGATAACAACAATGAGCAAGTAGTAAATCAGACAGTGTCTGGAGACAAAAGCAGTGAGAGAGAGAGAGAGAGAGAGAGGGAGAGGGAGAGTGCTTAAATCTTACGTAAATAGAGACCAGAGACCAGAGACTTTAGAGTTAGGAGAGAGACTTTAAGGATGTGTTTGTTAGTGTGATATAGATAATAGAATCGAATCTAATGCTGTTTGTAGGAGGACTCATTCTTTTCAAGTCTTAACCATAGTTTGCCCCTATTAAAACCACACTTAAGGTTTATCTTGTTTTGGGACATCATAACCATACTTAGGTTATAATTCTTATTACTTTTGTGGGTGATTTTATCACTGTTTTAATAACTATTTTTATTATTTTTCTTAAGTATAATTTTTTTTTATTTTATTTGTAGATATTTTTATCACTCTTGTGATAATTATTTTTATCATTTTTTTTATACTACAATAATAATAAAAATATTTACAAATATAATAAATATGATATAATAACTATTTTTTTTTTTGGGTACGGTCGATAACTTCTTATATAAGTATGCAAGTTGTATTAACAAATAGGAAGATAATAATGTTTGACTAAGGATGCGTTTGGTTGAGGAATATCAAAGGAGGAGATTGGACTATCCAAAAAAAAATCATTCATTTCTGAACCAACCATACACTATATATATATATATATATATATATATATATATATATATATATATATATATATATCGGAAAGTAATAAATTTTCTCATGAATAAATTGCATGAAAATTTATAATTACTAAGCAGTTAGGGAGAATTTGGTAAGATTGTGTAGTTGATATTTTGAATAAATAGTTTTCGAATTATTTCACTATATATGTTTGTTATACCCACAATAAGTTAACTTTTTTTTTTGTTCCGCGTACACCGACACACTTTCACTACAATAAGTTAACTGAATGAATAAACCAAAACAATTCAATATGTTAAAAAACGAGAACAACTCAAAAAACTTGAAGAATCTTTAATATGCCAATTTTTATTTTTATATATATATTTTTTGATATTACGGTTAAGGGTGTCGGATGAGGCTTATGTTCTCCTCAAAGACAGATTATTTACGTTGAAATTAGAGAATTCATGAGAGATAAATTCCTCATAGTCTAATCTTAAAGAAGTTACTAAATTTTGAACTCGAAATATGTAAGTTTATATCACATTTTTATCGCTACTTGGGCTACCCTTTGCGCTGTATGTCTACTTTTATTAATCATGATGTTTATGGTGGATTAGATTAAGAAACTACAATAAGCTATGATCAGGATCATCTACTCCTAACCTGTGTTGCTTCCTGGCTTAATTTTTTTATTGCAGACCTTATATGAAACCCCAAAAATGAAAGAGAAATAAAAATAGAACTACTTAGAGATTAGAACGGATACACTGTAAGATCGAATCTGAAAATCAATCAATCTTTTAAAATTGAGGTTTAGATTGTGAGATTGCTTGCCATTTACTTCTCTCAAATCACACAATAGATTAAAGCCTTGTGTGTTGTACTGAGTACAACATTTTTCTTTCTAATTAAGTTCTGTAATTCTTTATTGATAGGCATTAGGCAATGTTAATTAAAAGCATTACTTAAAAAAATGACTTTAATCATGGACTTGACTTCTACCCAGAACACTGGGCTTTTTCTCAGGGGTGCTTGCTCGGTGAGACAAGCCCAGGCTATCAAGACGCTGGTGAGGATTGTGACGTACGGATATGGATATAGGATATGAATACGATATAATACGGATACGATAATATGATAAAATCTAAAAAAATAAGATACGGATAAGGCCAAGCTACGGCTATAATAAAATATGTTTAATATTTTTAACCAACTTAATACTTATATATTTTAGTAGTTCTTTAACATATAATAAGAAAAATTAATAATTTTTTTTTAGTTTCAAGAAAATATTTATCATGTCGCTGTGGTATATTCACAAAGTAAAGTGACTACTTAAAGAAATCAAAATTAAAGGAATCAAAACTAATATTTACTTGATCAGGTGTTAGTGGATACCTCCTTTATAGCAAGTCAAGACTTATATGGCAGGGAGCAGACGATTCTCTCTCGATGTGAAACGAGAGGTTAAAGGCTACTGGGAGACTCAGCCCAAGTCAGCCAAAATCCTTCCGTGGGGAGGTGGTTCACCCCTTACACCATAATAATATATACTAATGAACTTTCAACCATTTTTTTGTTATTGATTATGTGAACTGTTGATATGAGTCTTATTAATTATCCAATAGTTATAATTAGGTTAGATATGTTATCTTCGAGTTATGTCTCACCATAAGGTCTTCGGAAGTGTTTCTTGTGAACTCCAAAAGGTAGCTCAAATAATAATATAGATAAATTGTAAACTCAGACATCCTGAATTCGAATCTTGACAAATTCTCTTTGAGATCAAGTCATAAGTGATTTATCTTTTATGAATATTCTAGACCTAGTGTGGTTGGCCAACCTTTGATTAGATTGGAAAATAAATTAATCGAGGTACGCGTAAGTTATCTCGGACATTCTTTACCGTTGACCAAAAAGAGAAAAAAAAGAAGAAGAGAAGGGTTTCTGGTGCATTATCAGCAAAGTAAAAGTTATCTTTTATGAATATTCTATACTTAGCGTGGTTGGCTAGCCTTTGACTAGATCGAAAAATAAATTAATTGAGGTGCACATAAGTTAGCTCGGACATGCTTTACCCGTTAAACAAAAAAAGAAAAAAAAAAAAGGAAGAGAAGGGTTTCTAGTGCATCATCAGCAAAGAAACGGCTGTGTATGATACATAACTGATTTATCTCTTATGAATATTCTAGACTTAGTGTGGTTGACCAGTCTTTGACTAGATTGGAAAAGAGATTAATCGAGATACGCGTAAATTAGTTGGGACATTTTTTACCGTTAAGCAAAAAGTGAAAAAAAAAAAAGAGGAGGGAAGGGTTTCTAGTGCATCATCAGCAAAGAAAAGGCAGTGTATGGTACATAACTATCATTCTTCTCTCATACAGTATGCATATAAGCAGTGGCCTGTGAGCCACAAATTTTGTGTCTCAATGTACAGCCATTAGTTAGGTTACTAATAAAGGTTTTGCCACCTACCTAGTGACAGAATGCTGCAGGATAAGAGCCTTAGACATCCCTTGTTTTCAAGATGCAAGGAATTCATTCTTGAATAATAAAACAAAAAATATTATTACTAAAAGTATAATAAAAATGTTCAAGATCGCAATAAAAAGTCAAAATTTCGATGCCAATCTACAAATGAATGAAGGAAAAGAAAAGGGTCGTATAGAGAAATGCTAGAATTCAGCTGAGCTGGTTCGTCGTAGTTGATATCTTGGTTGAGAAGTTGGATTTGAATACAAAAGCATCTCCACTTCCTGTGAAATACAAGATCACAACAACAACAACAAAAAAACAGAAAAAAAAAACATAAATTAGAATAGAGAAAACCCTCTTGTTTAAAGGCTTACAGACAACAACAATTGTGAAGGGAAATGATAAAGCAGGAACTTTTGAAGTACTTGCAGCTAGAATTATATTAGAGTTAATGGTAATTTTGGGTCTTCAAGTTTGTACGTTTTGTTAATTTGATCTTTAAAATATTCAATTCGTATTTAAATGATCCTTTATTAGACGGACTTTTAAGTTTTTGTCGAAATTATCATATGTTAGTCATGTAATACTGTCTGAAAGAATAATACGTGGTCACTTTTGTAAAAAAAACTTAACAAATTATCTGATTAGAGACTAAAGTGGCATAAATTAAAATTTTTTGGGCTTAAATTGATAAAATTAATACAATAAAAACTAAACTAATAAAACATACATACTTTAGAAATCAGAAGTGTTATTATTAAAATTTTGGGCCTAAATTGATAAAATTAATACAATAAGAACTAAACTAATAAAACAAACATATTTTAGAAATCAGAAGTGTTATTAACGCATTACATTATCTCAATTTATTGCTCACGAAAGCACAAACTGCAAAGCAAACACAAACTTGGGTGCTATGGGGCTTCCTAGAGGCAGACATTGTAAAAAAAAAAACTAATTTCCATTATCGAAGGAACTAAATGACAGTGCCCAGTATAGAAGACTCTTGTCTGTAGTGGGGTCTAGGAGATTTAAGTGATAGCTTGGTAAATAAGGATACCCCCATTTTGGAGAAACATATTCGCAATCTTGAACCAGTGAAGTATTGAGTAGGCAGATGAACTTTTGTCATTGCTAAAGATCCAACCACATAGCTCCTACAGAACTACCATCTACAAATTTACTGAAACAGTTAGTACCTAAACTTCATAACAACATAACTGTAGACTCTAACTGAGGTGAAATTGATAATCTCCTACTTGGAAGCATCGTTAGTGATGCTTTAATGATGCCAATTGTTTCTAATTGCTCTTATACAATGGATCAAAGAATCCAACATATTTTGACATGAAGCTTCCGGTGCTGGTTTTGCTTTCCAAGGGATTCTGTAAATTTCAAAAGTAGACAAACTTAAAGGTGTTATATTCCACATGTTTTAGACCATGCATATAGGAAATGCATCTAATTAATATGCATGTTTTAGCTTTGTTAACGAAGGCCAAGTTGAAATTTTAAACTTCTGATGGGCCTCTCCAGCTTCAAGAAAATCCATAGATATCAGCTCTGATAGGTTATGTTCTTAAGTGCCCAACACTATGGTTCTCTCTAAATGCAAAAGCAAATCCATGAGAGGGTTAAGATCTTATTCCCAATAGCATAGCTGTATGTTTTATACTCAAAAACATGTTCTTATGAAATCAACAGAAGCATCAGAGAGTTTCCCTTCCAAACACTTCTCTCCATCTTCATGAGGTTGTCATACCACTTGTAGGCAGGACCGTCGAGGAAAAGGGAAAATTGTCTCAATGACAAATACCCATTTGTGGCATTGTCCCAGCAAGCAGTAATGAAATGAGATAAGTGTCTTTTAGGGCAACCTCCCCCATCAAACATAGAAAATGGTGGGATTTTGGTACCCTGGTGGATAAGGAACCGTGTCATGATATGAAGGAGATGGACTGCAATAAGGCTGGATTGCTCCTGCATTCTTTTCTCAAAGGTTAAACACCATTATCATCTTAAGAGTGAAGCTGCAATTTTTTTTATGGTAGTTGGCTCAAAAGCATGGCTATCTTCTTAATCATAACTCACCTAGTAGCTGGCAAAAACCAGCACCTATTCAGTCAGGTTCACTCTATTGCTAGTCTCAATATTAGCTATCCCTTGGTATATTAGCCATTCCTGAACTGTGGTTCTTTTGTTGGTAATGCCTCAAGAAGAATAGAAGGAGCTTGTGTAAGAGGCACTCAAAGATGGGTAATGGTTTTACCATTATCTCTGATCGAAATCTAATGTTGCATCTCACCTACTAGCAGAGTGCTAGGTCATATGGTCAAGTAACAGGAGTCAAATAGGTTTCTTGTCCAAACTCAGACTGACTTAGGCATTACCCTCAGCATTGCTTCTTTGTCCTGCTTGTTTTACAGATGATCCGAAACCTTTGCCCAGCACCAAGTTTCACTTGGCAGACCAACAATTGCTTTGCTCGAGCAGTAGTCCTTGGGGATTCATCTACATCTAACTGTGGAGAATCATGGAATTAGCTTGAGACAATTCTTACCCAAAACTAAGCTATTATTGCCAGCAGACGGGTATATTTAACCCCAAACAGCATAGTATCCTGAGATTTGTTTTCACTACTAAGATTTAAGATAGTGCCTTGGATTGTTGCGAAACTTGAGTTTACTCTGAGATTAGTTTAGAGTTAACAGCAGTTTAGGTACATATTTCTGATTAATTTAATATAGTCAATAAAAACCACATAATTACTCAAGAAAATTATGGTATCACCTTCTGCTTTTTGAGCCAATCATTTGTTCTCCTTAGTTGAAATGCATCATGCTCCAACTGATTGGTGTAGGCCTACAATACCACAACTATCACTAAGTTAAAACTACAGGTTTTGTCGTCAGAGAAAAACAGAAAAATTAAGCAAGTTGTGCAAAGTATCATATTATTTTCAGAAAAAAAACATAGAACAAGTCCCAAACATCAACCTGTTTCCTTGCCCTTGACCTAGCAGCCGACTCGCGATTCTTGATCATCCTCCTTTGCCTCCTTTCAATAGTCTTCTCCATCATCTCATCTGTGAATCGCCGCTTCCTTCCGCCACCCACCTGGGAGTCGGAAGAAGTGGTGGCCGCAGCTTGAACGGGCTTTGGCAGTGTTATCTGGTTACCTGAGTAACCTATCTCCACCATTGAATTCTCATATCCCATTTCAGAAACCCGGAAATTCGACCCCACCACCGCCTGCATTGGCATGGTTGTCATCTGCTGTTGCTGCTGATGATGAACCGTTCCCGTACGAAACTGCAAGCTATCTGCCTGTTGCTTGACCAAAACCATTGGATCAATCCCCATCAATGGATGAGGATTAATAACACTTTCATGATTTGCTAAACTAATGACTCCGGCATGAATTAGAAAATCCTCCAGTGTTGTCTCTCCAAGACTCAGTTGGCGCTGGACTGATCGGTTGGGTTTGTCTTTGTCAGCTGCATTGATATGATAAGGATGACCAATTTCATTCCAAACTTCGTCCACTGTTTTCTTACTAAATGTCCCATTTAGATTTCCATGAAAGATTAAAGGTGAAGAAGATGAAGAAGAAGAAGATTGGTGTCGTACGAGCTGACTCTCTTCAGCAGAGATAACATTTTTCACTAATTCATCCAAGTTCATAGTATTCAAAGAATTTCCAATATTGTTGAGTTGGTTCGGGACATCATCAAGGGTGAGATTGTGTAGAGAACCTTGTGTGTCCAAAACTGGAGTGTTAGGCCCTAGGAACTTCATCCGGTGAGACTACAGCTCTATGACCCATCACAATTCATGGAATTCTATCAACTTTAATATAAAGGAGTGTCAGAGAAGGTTGGTGGTGGGGGGGCGGAGGCAGTTTGATATTGGTTTGGTCTTTGACTGTTGAATCTATATCCCGCAAGTGTAGCATGGAAAAGAGGTGTGGTTGTTGAGATATATAGAGATTAAACAGCCGACCCAGGAAATCTGAAACGGCCATCCCTCTCTCGGTCTTGTACGTACCTTTGGATCCCAATTCGGGAGAGGAGTCTGATGGTGGTAGGAAGTTTTGAGACTTGAGAAGGCAACAAGGGGACAACATATTCCACAAAAAGGTTTTTTCAACTTATATTTTACTGGTTGTAGATATTCGTAAAATCAGTAAGAAAACTTCTAATTCTATAATGATGCATATAATATCAATCAGAAACAAATACATGATTATATATATATATAAAACATGTTTTTGGTATTTTTATTTTTATATGAGTTTTATGGATGAAGAGGAATTCAAGACCTTTTTATGATAAACAGAATGAGCTCTAATCTTTATGGATTCAAATTCATTTTTTGGGCTTTTGTTACAAATGATTTTGAGAATATATATTTGCATTACTTTGAGCAGGACAACTATTATTGGATTGTAAATTTTATTTTTATGGTCTTGTTTTTGTGCGATTTTTATGTTCTTGGGTTTTTTAGGTCATTTTTTTGGGTCGGAAGACTTGTCCACCTTTGTTGTTGGCTCTCGTAATTTCTCTTTCCTTTTTTATTAATAAAATTACTATTTTTTATCAATTTTTTTTGGTGGTATTAAAATTAAGTTAATTTGTGTTTGGCACTAAATCAAATAGTTTATTACTTGAGTAAGCAAGACATGTTATTTCAAGTTCATATCATCAACCCTAAATTATGAAACTCGTATCGTGTTAAAAATATTTTTATTTTGAAAAGTATGATGAAAATGATGAATTTGAGACACATCAATTGATAGAGGTGAGAGCTGAGAAATAGGCTACAGATCAAAGATGTCAGGAAAGTTTCATGTGGGCCGTGGCCGAGATGCATTCATAACGATTGGGCTCTTTAAGACTTCAAACACATAGGCAGTCGTGGGCTTGGCCCAACCCAATCTTAAGCCTGTGTAAAATTTGTTGATGGAACATCATCTTCATTTGGTAAACTTCAATTTGATTAGCATAACACTCCAAGGCAAAACCCACCTACTTGTATTAGGACTTGGCACAAATTTTTTCATACTTCCAAAGCCAAGGGAGGAGGATCGGGACCAAAGTGGACGAGGTTAGGTCGTGACACCCGTATGTATATATATATATATATATATATATATATATATATCTTTTCCAAATATTTCTATTACATAATCATATAGAATTTATATTTAATATCCAAGCTTGTCTATAACAATGTCCGTTAAAAGTAATTGGTATGAAATTTTATCTTTTTATTTGAAAGGATGAATCTTGAATTCAAGAACCTTCAATATATCACTTGGATAGATGAATATTTATCATCAATATAATATCCGGAAAAAAATAATCTTATATCCAATGCTATATATGCAAAACAGAATGAGTAGTGGTCAACTGATAATTGTATGTGCATATGTGCACCAAAACTTATATCAAATTAATTGCAGTTGTTGAATCGGTGATGGAACCCACTGATTTAACATCTACAAGTGATTTGATGCAAATGATTTAGTGTACATAGCATTGCTCGTGGCCAATTAGTAGTACTCATGGAAGTAGTACCAGTAGTAGTAGCTATAGACTATATTGATTGGGTAAACCTTTCAAGTTTAACTTGATGCATTATTTCCTCAGTGACAGTTCTCAATAGTCCTCATCCAAGGAAAATACTAAATCTTTGTTTAGATCCATTTGCGAACTAGATTTGATGGGTTAATCCAACTATCACTCAAGCCCATTGAAATTAAACCATAATTTATTGCCGAGTATTCGTCGTGTTAAGATTACAACTCTAAGTCACACAAAGCACATACCAGAGGTATTGCAACAACTCGATCAATTATTGAAATTTCGCATAGGACTGTTCATTATTTAACATCACTGAATAACAATATCGTTGGTATAAGCATGGGAGAATCTTTATATCTACCCTTGGTTGCATAGATTCCCCAGAAAAATGTTCTGTGCTCCAGCACTCGGGACCCTTTAAGTTAAGCCTTTTGCCACTTTGGAATTTGCTTTTGATTTGAGCAATTGACATAAAACAGGTCAAAAATAGTCCTTTGAAAGTCATTTACCTATCCACAGAAGGGGATAAGAGATTTCTAGGATACTGACATAAAGTTATAATTATGACTGAAGTCGAGTTTTGCGAGTTTGAATCGAGATTGTAGCTCTCAACTATTTTACATATAAACAAGTCGAGTTTTGCGAGGTCAAGTCGAGCAAAACGAACCTAAAAATTGTTCAAACTAGATTTGTTTAGAATACGAATTGAGCTCAAAATGAGTCCTATCCGAACTAAAATCCGAACAATTCAACTCAATTATTTATCCTATTTATAATCTAATTAGGTTACGTTACGACTCAAAATCAATCCCCCAAAAAAAAAACCCCTCAGAATTAATCTAAAGGTTTTCAATATCAATATCAACTTTTGTTGAATCATAACTTTTACCTTGTCGGTAATATTTAATCTCATTAGATCATAAATTATTTGGAATTTTTTTACAACTTTCCCTGAATAAAGGTTGAAGTGATCTATGGAGGATCTGCCAAGCAAGGTCACTGTGTAGACTTTATATCCATGTACATTTTTTTTTTTTTTGGGAGGGAGAGGGGGAGGGAGACTTTATATCCATGTACATACAGTACCACTTTATTGATTGAATCTATATTTAGATAGATCCCCATCAAGTTCCTATGAACATTTAGTGTTGTAAATTTTATCTTTCAATCAAAAGAAAAAGTAGAGAACTTGTAGATGTGTTTGTGGTGTGGTTGCTTTCCATTAATGATTGAGGGCATGACATATGAGAGCATATCAATTTGGGATGCACTTCCATATGGCACCATCAAATAATGCAGGCTTATTTCTTTTTTTTTTTGAAAAAATAGTGGGGGTAAAAGAGAGCGTTCAAAGACCACCCCGATAGGTCCTCATTAGTGGGAGATCATAAGGTATTTGACTACGCATGTTACTCATATTAGAAACGAACTTAGCTAGACTAGCATAATAGTTAACTACCGAACTTTAATGTGAACTCAAAAACTCAAACCTCGAATTTAAAGGTGAGAAGTTTGACCGCTACTTCACTGGATCACCCTATCTATAATATAAACTCTAAGACTCGAACCTCCAATTTATAGGTGAGAATTTCGATCAATACCCTACTAGACTATCTTACTCGGTGATGCCAAGGCTTATTTCTGAGTGCATGAAGGTTAGTTTCAATGGGGCGTGATAAGTGCATAATTCAACTAATCGTACATGTCACTTGAGTCTCATATTTTGCTTTTTCCTTTCTTATTTTAGGTACAACATAACTAGGAAGATCTAATTGAAGTGAATAAACCAACGAACATGTAAGGCACAATAACACATATCTTTATAGAATTTTCTCCTACTCAGACTAGTGAAATGTAGATCACATCTCATACCTTCCTTGCCAATTTGGAATTTTTAGCGATTGTTTTCATAGAAAAATATGATTTTAGCGTTATATACCGGCATGTCTAAGATTCATCATATACTTTCGCCTTCACAGTAAAGAGAAGTTTAGTTAAATTTTTTGAATCTCAAACAAATAAGCACATCGATCGATACATTAATTATAAATTTTTTCCCTTTTCTTGCTTTTCTGTTTTTCCTTTGGCATTTGTCATATTTATGAATGGTTTCCAATCATTAAAACTAGAATTCTAGTTTTAATTCCAAATTAATGGGATATCATCTTCATTTACCTTCATGAACTGGTTCGTCAGTCCCTTTCAGGCTTCTTTACCGAAAGTTTCTTTCTAAAAGTCCCTTCTTTCAAAAGCTTTAAGGATCACAAAGTTCTTATACCATGAAACCTTTACCTCATCCTAGAACTAAGTCATAGTTATACCATTATTTAGTGCAATGTATCTGCACTTATGTTAATATTCTACCAACGCGTATAAAAATACTTGTTAAAAGCTGAAAAATAAGCCTACTTTGCTTAACAAAGTACCTTTTAGTAATTTGCTAGAAAAAATATCTATTTTTTCATCTTTTTGATGATAAAAAAAGATCCAACCAGCAATGGTTATCTTAATGTTTGAGATTTGCTTGTTGAGATCAATAGCCAAACCTCTAAAGGGCTGTTTGGTATATGGGTTTGGGAGGGGTTTGAATTGTGGGTTGGGGGGAATAAATCCCTTAAACTCATGTTTGACTCAAGTTTGAAAACTCAACCTGTTAGATGACCTGGTCATGAAACCCATGAACTTGGC